AGCTATTTATCACTATATTTTAATTTGTTTTAGAGAAAGTGGGGCCCATCAGGCCAACTCCATCACTCTAAGAAAATTGTGGGATTCGCCATATGGCAAGCCCCACACGGTTGACCTTGCCTCGCCAAACAAGGCTTTGGCTCGCTACGAAACAATGATACCGGATGTTCTTAAAGTAGATTATTGTTAACATATACAATATCATAGTATGCTTTTAGAATAAATGATTGTTAACATTACCTTCGTTCATAAAACACCGGGTTCTCTTCCTTGACACAATCAGAAGCCGAGGCCTCCTTGTACTATTGTTGTCATCTCTTAGTAGTTTAATCACCTTTTCTCTCTTTAAAGAGTAAGAACTTCTAATGAAATGTGTGAACTGCTTCATGGAATATGGACTCTTTGAGGGATCAATGCTGAGTTCTTTGTGATGTTTAAGGCCGACAATCAATCTTGAGAAGCAATGCCCTGCTCCATCATCTTTGTCCATGTCGATGATATCATACCTCGACAACTTTTGTATTAGAGCTCGATGTTTGATCAACCACCAAGACTTTTTGTTGGCAACGAGAAACTGTACTTGTCCATCAAATTCTCGAGCAGTTAAATATAGCGGAATCAAGACATCGAAGAAGTCATGGAAAAGGTTACCAAGATAGCCCCCGGTGGAGAAGACAATGCCGGTGACATTGTGAGTTCTGTTGCAACGTGGATCCGCTTGGGAGATGGAATGTGCTTCTTCCATCTTTATTTTAAATTTTGTAACACCCGCCATTGCGGTTTCATCTCCTTTTCGAGCATAAGGACGTATTGTCCATGAATTGTTGTTGGTTTCTTTCAAAATGCTCATTTGAGTTGAAGCAAGAAAAATAGTGGACGAATTTATGGAAATTCGTATGTCTCCATTCAACTCACAAACATCTGACCTTTGCTGTGAAATGTCACAAATGGGTTTGACTTCCTTGGATTTGATGTCTGAAACAAAATATTAGAAGATGAAATGAGTTTTGGTTCATACATTCTCTCAAGTCACAAACAAGGTATTGGTGCCAAATGGGTAGGCCTGCCAAACGGGCGGGTTTTAACGGGTTTATACGGGTCAAATATTAGCAAGTTAAATATGTTTGTGACCCGCACTTAACGTGTCAAATGTGGGTCATAGGCCAAAATGATTTGGGTCCAAATGAATCGTTTTTAATGAAAATCAAATAACTGAAAATTTAGGATCTGTTTAATTTGTAACTCTGAGAACAATTTTCTGTTTTTAGAAAACTGAACTATGACAACAGTTTTCTGCAAAAAACTGTAAAAACAGAAAACTGTAAATTTTTTTTTTTTTTGGTTCAGTTTTCTAAAAATTGTTTTTGAAAACTCAGTTATAAAAATGATTGTTTTCAGATAACTGTTTTTTATTATTTTTTGAAAATTGTTTTCTATTCTCTAAATTCTTGAGAACTATTTTCAGAATTACAAACCAAACATGTCCTTAAATTTTCTAGTACTATGTTATAAAATATAAAGCTAGAAATACAAGTTGGTATGGGCAGACCCATTTTTTATAGATCTGACCCGTTTACAAGAACTCGACCCGTTAGGATAACCCGACCTTTTAGCCCAGGAATTTAATTTTTAATTAAAAAAACACTTCCTCGTCTCTCAAAGCAGGTCTCTCACTAGTTGGCATGGATGAAGGTATTTTAAGAAACCCAATTCGGCCCTTGTGCTTTAGATATAGGGGCTGTGGGCTTGGAACGGGCCGGATTTAGGCTAATAACGGGCTAGAGTGTGGCCTTGGAACAGGCTTTGGGATATCGGGCTAAATTAGTTTGTTTTGTGTGTGGGATTGTAAAATTTATTTTATTATATTATTATTATTATTATTATTTTCACAGATGAAGTATCTCACATTTTACAGTGGACACACCTAACATCTCCACATGCCACGTGCACATGTCAAGACCGGACAATTTCAGAATTAGCTAAAATGGTTTCATGTGAGATTATAAAATACCTATGCAATGAAAAGTACTACATATTTTGTGAGCATTTTCTTGTTATATTTCGTTCTCCATTTGGCTTTCTTTTCTTTTCTTTTTTTCATTTTCTTCCCCATTTGGCAAGGAGAGAGATTCCTACTTTCAGAAGATTCTCGAATTCATGGAGTGATATGTGGTGGAGGTATGGTACAAATATTATAAAGAGTGGTTTTGGTTTTTATTATTTTATATGATTGGTGTTCACTTATGCCCTTTTTATAATTGGGTGACATTTATTTTAAATGAGGTCTTAAAGCTAACCATTTACTATTATTTCTTGGTTGGTAACTTACATTTTTTTTATTATTTTTTAACTGGCCGAGCTGGGCTGTAGCGGGCTGGTAGACGGGCCAAGGTACTGGGCTGACAAGCTGATCAGTGGGCCGGGTTGCAGGCTGAATCCGATACTCAGGCCCTGCACATCCTCTTATAGGGTTGGGTCAGGCTAGCTTGACAAGGATTCAGGGCCAATCTAAAGCCTAGCAGTCTCAGGCTGACCCGCGGCTCTCGGGTCATCTTTTGCTCCCTCATGCTTGCTTATGCTTTGAAATAAGAGCTGACTTATGGATTATCCTGAACAGTAAATATTTTATTTTCTGATCGAACATGGTCATTTATTCGAAGGTTCGTATCTATATTTCCTATCCGCATTTGTGCTTATTAGGAGCTGACTCATATTTAAACCGTTTCACTATGTATTTTTTTTTACCCGCATTTCAAAGTAGTTCATCAAAATCTATTAGAGGGCGGGTGGATTTGGACGGGTTGATGGGTCAAGAAAAATTTTGCCAATCCTAGAAATGGGTGTAGCTGGATCACTAATATTGACATTGACCTAGAAATGAGAGTGGCTGGATCGCTAAAGTTGTAACTCTATACCTGTAGAACTACTGCTTCTGAACGCCATAACTATTCTTCATATAAAAAATATGAAATACAATTTAAGTGAAATATTACCTATTTGCCTTTGGTTGGTTGATTTCTCCATACTTGATAACATTTTGAAGCGTCCAAAGCCCAATGACAACTGCAAATTCACTGCAACAACAGTATGATGAGTACAGATAAAAAATCAAAACACAAACTCAAAACATAGCACCAAATGGAACTAAAGAGCAGCCTCTTCACACACACACACACACACACGACACATACACAGTTTCGGACTTACAAACAGGTAGAGGGCTCAAATAAGGCTTGAACACCGCGCAGAAGCTCAATGCAATTACGAGACAACCAACAAAAGCTCCACAGCCAAGCCTCTTCTGGTCATGCCGACTAAAGCTTTTGGCAAAGATGGTTTGGTACGTCATTTTTTGAGCTAGAACAACATATACCGTCCACGACTACGAGAGCTTTAAACACTCAAAGACAGATTATCATAATTTAAGCCTTCTTTTTGCCTTTGTTTTAATGGAGAAGATTGAATGTTTGTTAGAGTGATTGCTTCCCAAGATTTTGTTAATATAAAGTGTTGATTTTGCAAATCATAATAAAATGGAGGGTTGAAAGGGACTTTGTGGTTGACTGTGTTTAACATAACCTGCTCCCTTTTGAATTTTGATCATTGTTTGCATGTATTTGAGAATGGATTAATTGCCAGCTACTAATGCTGGCCTTGAAAGGCATCAACCAACTAATGTTTATAAAAAAATGAGGTATTATATGTGTGTGTGTGTTTTAGGATCAAAATTCCTTGAAAGGTATCAACCAACTAATGGTGTTAAAAAATTGAGGATATTTGTGTTCGTTAGTATAAAAATCTTCAATTGGGTTTCTGTTTCTTCTTAGGCTACCTACCATAAAAGTAGGGGTCACAATTGAGCGGTTGGGCCGGGTTTGAGCTGGTTGAAAATGGGCGGGTTAAACATGGGTCAAGACCCATATTCAACCCGTTCAGAACGGGTTGAAAACGAACGGGTCAAAAATGTATAAAATCAACTCGTTATAACTCGTGGAGTCATTAATTATTATTTTTTAACTATTTAAAAAAAATTTTAAAATTATTTTTAATTATTATTTTTTTTCCAGGAAGGTTTTAAAATTTTATTTAATAACAAATTAAAAAAATAATCTCAAACTCAACAATATTTATCTACTCGTTTTAGAGAGAGAGAAGTGAAGAAAAGAGAAGAAATTTATTAAGAGAGAAACTTAGAGGGGATTGATGAGTGACAAATTTAAAGAGAGAAGATCGTGAGTGAGAGAATTTTAGAGAGAGAGAAATGAGTTGAGCGTAATATGGAATAGATGTGTATTGTGTGTTTATTATGTGATAAGTGAAAAATTATTCAACCTATTTTTGGCCTATTTTAAATATAGTTTACCTAAAATCATTAAAAAGCGGGCGAATATGAATGGACTGATGGATTGTGACCCATTTTGCCACCCCTAGTTTTTTTTCAACTTAAATGCAATCAATTCATTTCTCTTGGTTTCTTTTTTGAAATTGGAAAGCATGCAAATACGTAATTGTCTTCAGTCTATGCCCTACATGGGACTCCAACCTTTTAGGAAAACATGAAACTGATTAATGCATTCCTCATTTTAATATTTCAAAACCAACCCTCTAATAATTTAGTTAAAATATATGCATTTAATTTAGGAAAGAGAGATTTTTTTAAATTGACTGTTCAGAAATATACTTGTTTTTAAATAATCCAAATTTTATAGAGTCATTTATTTTGGAATGGAGTATTATTATATCCTTTAGACAACCAATAGTTACAAATGCCATTATAAAGTAAGCTTTAGTTTATCTGCAAATTTTGTAGAACACTCAAAAAAACTGTTAGTAAAGCGTTCAATTCCCTGAACGGGTGTGCGCGTGTTCAAGTCCCTCCCTCTCCCTAGTTACAAGATATATATATATATATATATATATATATATATATATATATATAAACACTCAGCAGCTTTCCTAGGTTATCCATGGTGGAATTGAAAACAGGGGAATACATCAAATTTCATAATATACAATCATTTATTATTAACTTAAATATACAATCAGTCCATGAACCATTTATCCATTTATTGCTGTAAACCTATTTTGGCAAGGTTGGAGTTTTAAGTGTGCTCAATGATGATATACAGAATAAATACACCAAAATATATATACTGGAACAATCAACTGTTATCTAAGTGACTATCTGCTAGTGATCTTCACCAACTTCTATTACATTTAACAGCAACGTCTTAATTCAATTCATTAGAACAATTTCAATTGATCTAAGGCCAGGTTCAAACCTCAATCACAATTAACCCAGCCTTCTTTCTGGATCTATACAAAGCTCAAGCTACCGCTTCTCCTTGTGGTCTTCTACGAACAACAAAAACTAACCATATTTGTCATTGTTGAGCTGACCCTTCGGAAATAATACGAACCGTGGATAAATTTTAATGTTCACTAATATTGTCTTTCCTGTAAATACATCAACAAAGGGGCAGTCAGAACTTGCAACATGATGACAGTTTTTTATATCGGTGCCAAAATTGCCAACAAACTATTTTCCAGATGAAGGAAATTAAAATTTAAATCTTTTCTGAAAACTAAATGCTTCTGAAAAGCAAATGGTGCATGAGAATAAAAATATATAACTTCAACATGATTTGCATTCTATGTGAGATCTTGCTACAGAGGAGTTGTGATAACAAAACATCTAAAACCTTAGAAAACATGCATTCATGCAATAATACATAAATAAATATATATAGGCTCCTCTAAACTGCAGGCTTGGAATGCCTTTAATCTTTCTTTGGCAGTTAGAGTTGAACTCATTAAATGAGTCATTTCTTCTTTTTATTATTATTCGGCTGCAGTTTTCTCAATTCCAGTGGGGGTCCAGAAATTGATTGAGAGGAAGATTAAAGACTTCTTGCGGGGAAGCAATTCTGAAAAGAAAGCTATTCATCTATTGAATTGGAATAAGGTTTGTAGGCCTAAAGCTGAAGGTGGTTTGGGGGTGAGAAATTTTCAGAGTATCAACCAGGCTAGTAAACTTGTCTTGATCTGGGATTTTCCTTTTATTTTATTTTTTTTATTATTTTATTATTTTTTACTTTTAATAATTAACATTATATTAGAAAGCATTCAAAAGGAGAACGCATCCCAAGAGCTGTACAAGGATCTTGATCTGGGATTCTTACTAAAGCAACTTAGCGGATAGCATGGTTCAGGGATATGTATCTTTCCCATAGCACTTTTTGAAATTGTATTCCAAAATCTGCAGATTCAGATATCTGGAAATCAATGTCGAATATGAGGGATTTGCTGTTGACCAATGTTGAGTTCAAAATCAGTAATGGTAGACACACCAGGCTATTTCTGGATCCTTGGTTTCATGGTAAGTCTATTGTTCATGCTTCTGGCTATAGAAGACTTGGAGGTGTCTTTCAAAGAGATGCAACCGTTTCTGTTCTGTTGGAAATTAGTCAGTTTCTCTAAAAATTTGAATCACATTCTCAAGATGATAAGTTGGTTTGGAAATCTGGTAATTTCTGCTTCAAAGCTGCATGGAACAAGTGTAGATCTCAGTGGGATAGAACAAGTTAGCATAGCATTGCTTGGACCAGATGCAAACCTAGAATTTCGTTTGCTGCGTCTTTAATCCTGCACAATGCTAATCCTTCTTTCTTTAATCTGAGAAGGAGAGGGATGACACTTGCATCTATCTGTCACAATTGTTTCTCTCATGAGGACTCTAATGATCATATTTTCTGGTCTTGTGAGTTGGCCAATGCAGTTTGGTGCTGGTTTAGTAGATAGTGGCAATGGGAAGACATGCTGCAGTTGCAATCTTTTCCTTGAGTGATCCATTGGGTTGCCTCTTTATCTATTCCTGATCAGTTCAGAACAATATTGTTCAAGTGTTCTTTGCCTCGATCCTCTGGAGTTTATGGACTGAGAGAAATAGTAGGCTGCATGGTGGAAATAGAAGAACAGCCCAACAGATTGCTGTGAATGCTTCCCTTGAGGGTTGTCAAGCCATGGGCCTACTTTACAGGATTTACAGTCCATGATATGATTCATATTGTTTCTTATTTTCACTGGGATATGTCCTACTTAGTTTTGGTGCTGTTTAGAGCTTTATTTCCTTCTGCTTTTCTAGGGTGTGCCTAGTTAGCCTTTTGTTTTGATCTTGTTTCCTGCCTTTGGGCTTTCAATTGTACCATTATGTCATATATTTATAAAATTACCACATTCAGGACAAAAATTTATATATATATATATATATATATATATATATAGGCTCAAAAGGGTAAAAGAAACATAAACATTTTCTGAAGTTTCACTAGAAATTCAATATCTCCTCACATGCCGAAACAGAAGGTGAGGGTTCAAGTCCCTATGGGGACAAATGGGTGTGTGAGCTTCTTGCCAAGAGGTGAAAAAAAATATATATATATATATATATATATATATGTACTGAAATCCTCTTATTAAAGTAGATTTCATATAATAGCATTTATGTGGTATTTTTAGGTCATGATTCGCCGACTACTTCAAACTAAGTCTGATGATTTATGCAATCCAAATCCCATGCAGATGCATGGGAAACGCACTGACAATAAATAATAAATAATTAAATTATAATAGTTCCAAGTCCATAACGTAACATACTAAGTGAATTTTCACAATCGCATTTGGTTTGACAATTTAATATAACAATAATAAAGGAAAAACTTGAAATATTTTTTACCTTGTTGCCTTTTACCCGGTCTCTATGTATAATCAACAACCTGAAGTTCATTAAATACGTCCCTGTTGCTCCTTATCACCCTAGCTTTATTGTCTCTAATTTCTAGAACCTGGTGAACAAGGTAAAAGATATTAAGCCCAATACTTTTAGCGTTATTATTAATGAAATAAAAGAAACTAGAAGATGATAAAGTACAGAGACAAGCCAGACATGATCTCTAGATGCCTCAAAAACAAAAAACAAAAAATTCAATTTATCATGGAGCATCAAAAGTTGTCAATCTCTTGATTTCAACACAAAAATGAGCTTATGGAGCAATAATTATCATTAGCAAAGCCAATATATAATTGTTAGTTCATTGTTTTACTTCAAAATTGAAGATCCACATGACAAGAAATTGACTCATTTCTGAGACCATCTATGGCGCTACATGGACTTAAATGCATGTGTTGCTTCTGGTGGTGGGTGTCGGATGAATCTAATCTGCTTCAAGACATGAGGGACTAGCTGAATTCTCTTGAAAGCCAACTTTTCTTCATCATTAACTTAGCATAAAATTTCTATGACAATTTGCCCAAAAGAAATGGGTACTTGTGCCCACTATAAAATGTCAATGTAATAGAACTACATATCTAGAATGTGCATTATTAGGTAAGTGGTGCTATATTCCAAACCAGTACCCATGATGTATAGTGTATGACACAAATACACCACATTTCTATTTATTTATTTATTTTGGAAATTTGCTTATTCCACGCAAATAAAATTGATTGTATAAACTGCAATTCCATCAAGAACCAAATTTGCACATTCGCAATAATATGCAAAACATAACGGAACAATTCCATTTCAATGTTATCCAAATCACCAGTGAATAAATCAAAGCAGGAAAATCACAACAAAAAAGAAGAAAAAGAAAGAAAGATCCTTGTCACAGACAGTTATTCATCCCACAAAGCTATAGATTTTTAATGCGTAATTAAAATCCTAGTCAGGAACACAATTACCATTAGAGGATCCTTAGAATATTTCAGTGTGTAACTAAAAGCAAGTATGGTATTACAGCTACTCTGTTACCAAGGGGCAACTACTTGGAGTCAACATGTAGTTTCCCAACCAGCATTAACTGATTAAAACCATACTACGTATTTTTTTGTATGAGCCGAATCCGAATCCGAAAACAGTACTCGCTGATATATGGGTGGGAATAGGCATCACATGAGACACGGTAGAGCCCCTAGGGAATCAACCAAGTCATCAAATATGACGGTGTGCAAAGTCGAGAAAATTTTACAACAATAATCGATTCCGTTACTTTATGACCAATATAACCATGCATTTCTTACACTGTTTCTGCGTCAGTGTCTGCAGCCATGGCCACATCTTTGAACCATGAAAACTAAGTGCTCAACTTATTTTGAAATGAATGGCAAAAATATATTTAATCATAAATAGCATGTTAAATTTGGGCGACCAAAGAGAGCTTACCTCTGGTCTTGAATTAAGAACTCCACTAGACATTCCAACGTCAATCCGCCATATGCTACAGTTGAATTTACTGCAGAGCAAAAACAATATCTGAGAAATAATTTTACAGAAGATCAATTCAACCCATCAATGCAAAAATTATATATCTCAGTAAATACAAAAAGATCTGCAGATATTTAAGGAGCAAATAACTGTGGTTCAATACCAATTCACTCCTGTAGTTTGAGGAGTATGCCCCACAATCATTGCCTTAGCACCTAAATCTTGCAGTGTCTCTTCAAGAATAGATTGGATCTGACAAGAAGATAAATTCAGTTCCAACATCCGCTTAGTTATGTATAACAAAAGAATTTGAAAACCAAATTTGATCCCAATACAAAGAATAAATTGATCAAGCGATCAACTGAATTAAATGAAGTATATGCCAAAAGCAGAAAACGTCATTTCAAAATTATCGCAGTTTCCTCACTTTTCCAGGGAATCATAATTCTTCCATCCATAAAGCTCGTAAAGTAGGGGTGCACAAAAGAACCGGAACCGTAGAACCGGAACCGGAACCGTGGGAACCGGAACCCTTTTTCCCGGTTCTCACGGTTCCGGTTCCGAATTTAGGAACCGTGAACATACGGTTCCGGTTCCAACCCGTGGGAACCGGTAAGAACCGGAACCGTATATATATATATATATATATATATTATATATATATGTATTATATATTTAATTTTATACTAAAAAGGAAGTAAATACAAACTGGGCAGTGAAAACAAAAGTCTATTTTTTAAGTTTTTGGCCCTAAATCTCTCTCTCTCTCTCTCTCTCACAGTCCTCGCCTCATCTCAATCTCTCATCTAAAGTTCTAACAAATGAAGTGACGAACCCTAAGCTAACAGCAGCAGCGGCGCCAGCTACCCAGATCTCACCACGCTCCTTCACAGTTGCAAGTAGTTGATTTCCAAGTTGGTTAGTGTGTGTGTGTGTGTATATATATATATATTCAGTTTTTCTCTTTTTTATAAATTTCTCTCTCATCTTTCTCGCTCTCTCTCGTACTGGCATGATTAATTTTATTTCTTCAGAAGTAAATAAAGGAAGTGATTTTATACTGAATATCAATTGTTGTACTGTTGCTTTTCCTTTCCCTTTTCTTTTTTCTCCATCAGACAAGCCTTTATTTGAGACTTTTTCCATTCTTCTTCTCTTTTTTTTTTTTAATTTTATTTTTTCTCTGTTATGGTGGTTTTAGTTCTTATAAAACCAAGTGATATTCAGTACAACAATTGCTTGATTTGTGCAAAAGTGTATGGTAGAACAATTAACGGTTCCATGGGAACCGAACCGGTTCTACGGTTCGGTTCCAATTCGGTTCCATACTATACGGTTCCGTTTTCAAGGAACCGTCGTGAACAGTTCTGGTTCCGGTTCTGATCGGAACCGTGAGAACCGGAACCATGTGCACCCCTATCGTAAAGCACAGAAAACTGAATCACTCAGCTAAACGAACTATGAAATCTGCCATTTCATTTTTCTTTTTCTTTTTCTTTTTTTTAGCCATGCAGTGTTGAAACACAAAAGTTGATTCACCATGGCTTAGCTGGCTGATATTTGGAATGGACAAAAAAGCTAAAAGAAAATATTTTAACTTATTGAATGTTATTCACCTGATTGATCTGATAGCCTTGGAGATCTGAAATATCTCTGGAGTATAAACGATTCCAAACAACACTGTCATATCCCCTGGTGGCTATGAAAGGGATTTGTGGACTAATATCATTCTCACCGAGACCTTTCATCCAGTGAGATACTTCCGTGTTCATCCTCTCTATGCCATATGCAACTGAGTCAGTGCAAACAATTCTCTCAGGCATTGCAAAGACAAAAAGATAAAAATCTTTTGATAAGCGTTAATAAGTAATAATATACAAAAAAATAAAAAATAAAATCCATTTGAGTGATAGTACAACTTTACCATGGTGAGGAAGAAGGCCGCCATGACAGAAGACCCAGTCGTCAACTTTAAGAGCAACAGCATGTCGTGCCAACTCACATGCTAATGGACCGCCTGGTCTTAGGAGGATTGATCTGGCAATCACCCCCTTTTGCCGCTGTCCTAATATTTCAAAGACTTTCTCAGAATAATAATTGCAAAAATCACAATTCAATGGGGAAAAATGTCCATTTTTTCACATAAATTGCTGAAAATGAAAGTTACCAGAAAGTCATAAAGCAAGAAATGTGGTTACAGCAGAAAATCCGATACGAATTTCTTGATATTTTTAGGTTTCACTGATCAGAAACTACATATCCCTTTAACTATGTGTGAGAGAACTACTTGTTAGCCAAAGTAGTGGAGACTAGCATTTTAGTAATCCTGAGAACTATATATATGTATATATCTATATATATATATATATATATATATATCAATGCCAGCAACATGTAATGCAGATACTGTAGCATCATGAACTAGGTGGGCAGAAGTAGTTCTAAAAATCTTTTATTTTTCTAACTTTTATCTTGCAACCTTCCCCCTCTTTTCTTCATTTACCTAGGAAGTGCGAGCTTGGATGTTAATGGCTCAATCCCTTTCAATTTGATATTTGCAATCACCTTTAAAAGGGTAATAAAGTTTTGGAGATCTCAGGGATTGAAAACTAGAAGAAAATGCCTCAAAACATTTTTGCATGATTATAGTTTCTGTATGTATATTGTTACTGAATAATTTGGGCAGATCTACTTGATTTCTACAAAATCTTGTTCAAAACGTCGGATTTGTAGGTAAAAGTTGCTTTTGTCATAAACTTTCCAACTCTTATTTCTGTAATAGCTTTTAAGTTCTGAAATATGCAAAAAATATTGTTGTTTCTTTACTATGAGATGGAGTGACAGCTAGTCCAATAACAAAACTGGGCAACTTTAGCATGTAACTATATGTCAGACAGTGTATATTCTGTTTATAGAAGTAATCATGTGTGTATCTTTTAAAATTATCAAGTCATTTGTGCATGTGAATACCAGGCAAAATCAAATCATACAATTGCCTGCCATTGTAAAACTCTAACATGACATACAATAATCACATTGCCCAATATTATTTAATCATTGACTGGCTAGAAACTTTGGTATTACTATCTTCGTAAATTGCATAATGAGTATTTGGGTGGCCAGAGTGGCGAGCAATGGGCATGCATGTATCTATGTCATTACCTAAATATTCATATTAAAATTATTCTGCTAAATCTTTCAGAACTTTTTCTTTTTGATTGTTTTTAGACCGAACAACTAGGAAGATCAAGGCTTATGCCTTTGCTTATTTAACTGTTAATACAAATCTAGTATGAGGTAAATCAAATAATTTTTTCACTTTCCATCAAGAGAAAAGAAAAAGGACATTTCTTACCATCAAAGCGGAAAATACAATAAATCAGAATTTGTCAATAGAACTTTCAATGGTGATTAAGATTTTCAGGACTAAAGTGTCAGTTCTCTCACTAATGCTGATTGTTTATCCCTTTTGAGACTGCAAGAAGCTAATTAAACTAAAATCTACAACCTAACCAGAGGTATGATTTGTTATTGTGAATTGTAATTTACAATATCTTATCTGGTGAGCCAACAATATTTATAGAGTAAAGAAGAAAATTTATCATCATCGTTGATAATAATAACAGCAACAATAACAGTAATAATAATGATAAAAACAATTTCAAAAATATGTCAAGAACAAGATAATCTAGATTTTAGTTTAGAATATACCTTCACTATATTCAACGGACCCCAGTAATTCTGAGACGTTCTTCGATCTGCTTTCCACCTCTCGGACACACCAACCCAACTAACAAAAGCTTCTTCCCAATTATGGTCACAATCATCCAAGTACTCAAGAAAGTTGATACACTCATCAAATGCACCAGAATCAACATATCTAAAATCCCCTTCTACGTTCATCGTCTCATGATTTCCATTAACCTATGATTATTGTTGAGAATAAAACAAATTAGAGGGGGTATATCACAACTTTACTGTTTCAAGAAATAAAATAAATAGAGAGGAAGAATCCTTAATTAGACTTAGACTCTCTCCCATATTATTTTCTCTTTAGTCTTTTCTGCTCTATCAGCCCTCTTAGCCTTTTCTACAATCTACATCGTAATTTCTTTCTTTCTTATTTTCTTTTTACCTGTTTTTTCAATGAATAGTACCAGCAGGAACACAAAGGGAAAACCTGACACGAAGAATACCTTGCTTGTCCCTACTGAACGTACCAGAACATATGGTACAATTGCCATATAGTCACCATCATTTTGAAACATGGTCCTGTCTCCAAGTGGTGAGGGTGTAACCCTTATGTGATCCTTTGGGTTTTGAAGTGAAATTTATCCTTCTAAAAAAGAACATTTTGATTGCAAACCTTACACCTTTTCTTATTTACCAAAAAAATAATAATAATAATAATTGTGGAAATTTCACAAGTGGTTTTATGTTTAATTAATCAGGTTTGGGTCAATAGTTTAACACTCTGTTTTAAATTATGATATTAATTGGAAAGAGTGGTGGGCTGATGGCTGGTTTCTCATAAGAGTTTTGCTGAATAGTAGTAGTTATTCTGTGTGGTATTGTGCACTATTTACATTGGGGTTGTTGAGTAATTATTTTTTCTATGGCGAAAACCAAAAGGCAATTATTGTAAAGTATGGAATCAAGGATGCTGAGAAGGATAAAGTGGATAAAGACTTGACAGTTGACATTGTTTGCACAAAGTGACTGTCCCCAAGGCTCAAACTTGAACAGACATTCTCACAACTGTAACTTGAGCTTTTTTCATTTTCCAAGCAATGGCCTCTTATGGACAGCACAGCTATTTTACATGGACTCAGGTACGTGTGTCGGACAAGGGTATGTATCCATGCGTCGGACATGTCAAATCTCCAAATAGAAGGACACACGGACACGGCTAAATATTCATTTTTTATTTTTGATAAGTAGCTAAATATTCATTTTATTAATTATTTTATTTTATTTTCTAGAGCAAAGTAATGTTTTTATCTAATATAATGTTCAATATAGGCATTTAGCTCATTTTAAAGTAATAATATAATATAACTGAATGATTGGATATGCTTTTTAAGTACATTTCCAACAAAAAATGTCAGACACATATCCCATACCTATGTCCGAGCAATATGTGTCCGACATAAGTACTTCACTACTATTGAAAAGTCCATGTAACATAGCAACACAGGTGAGCAAAGTATAACTGTGAAAAGTATAAATGGTTCCACTTACTTGTTATGGGCACAAACTAGAAAGAAGTTAAGAGTATATCCTGTATGCACCTAATGAATTGAGAATTACCTAGTGATAAATTTACCGTGTAGTAATATAAATCCATCTATTGGCTATGTGTTGTGTTATGGAACACTGCAGAAAAGATTTATGATCCAGTTTGTCAGATGTTTCCACGGGGAAGAATGTTTATCAAGTTTATGATATCATCCATTTACCAATGAGATCATGATGCATTCATATATCGTCCCCTTAGTAATGATCGTCAGGTTCTGAAGAAAAGTGTGATAACTTTTACATATATAAGTTCTTACATGGACTCTATCCTTCCCTTCAGACAATTCGAAAGCAAATTTTGGCAGGTCCAGTAGTATTCCTTCATCAAGTAATGTGTAGGCACGGCTTCTTTAACCTTTTATTGGATCAACTTCTACATTGTCCACAGGAAAGACAACTCCACTTTGATCAGTTTAACAAGTCATCAGGGTTCTTTTCAAGCTTGGTACTAGCAACAATAGTTGGATAAAAACATTTTAGTGTTTTTAAAGGCCGGAGTACTGCTTTTATGCTGGTAAAGACCATTGTCCAAGGAAATAGTCATGGTAGAGGTAGGTGTACTCTGTGTGGAGGAAAGATTCATACTATGGGTAACTGCTATGACGTAATAAGCAAGCCATGGGCTACTCAATGCTAGTTCTTAGTTTGCATCTATTTTTCAGTAATTCCACAAAGAAATTGAAAAATCAGTTGAAATGTTCTATTTGTATCTTAAGACACCAGCAATAGAATTTACTAAAGGTTTTCTGTAATCGCACTTTTACTTACTTGCAATAATACATTAAGGCTCCGTTTGTTTGGATGTAAAATATTTTTCAGAAAATATTTTTTTATTTTCTGGTGTTTGGTGGTCATAAAATATTTACGAAGAAAAAAAAATTAAAACCTAACAAAAATAACGTCTCATCAATCTTCGGCAAGTTATTTTACACGTCCCACCCGATGGACTCGATCTCGACTTAGACCTTTATCAAATACTGAAAAATAAAACAAATAAAAATATTTTACATAATAAAGGAAAATATTTTCCGAAGAAAATATTTTACATCGAAACAAACGGAGCCTAAATTTCTTGTAGTTATACCCCTCAACAAAATGAGGCTGCAGAATGCATTTGTTTATGGTGTTCATCTTTAACATATTCAGCCATATTGTCCTCCACAAGTTGAATGAAGTGTTATGGATGAGGAAATGGCTGCCTTAGATTGGATGATATTTAGGAGCCCACTACTATGCCTCATGGATAGCAGACCACAAGCTGTCACTGGGTTTGTACTGTGAAATACCAACCTGATGGAAAAATTGAGCATTTGAAGGTGGAGAAAGGATATACTCGAACATTAGGATGACTATCGGATGTTTTCAGCTATTATTTGTCTTAATTCAGTTAGAGTCCTCACGTCTGTGGCAGCTGTAGGAGGCTGGTATATATTTACCTAGTTAACGTCAAGAATGCCTCTCTTCAAAGTTCTTTAGGTAGAGAGGTGTATATATGGACGAATTCCAGTTTATGTTGCTTAGAGGGAATCCGAGAAGTTGTGAAATTTGAAGAAGGCTATTCATGGTTTTGGATGTATCCAGGAGTCTGGTTTGACGAGTTCATGCTATAACTGTTGCCTACGGGAAAAAATGTACAATTATCAGATCATAAGGTATTTGTTCAGCATAGTCAGAATGTTTTCATTATTTTTTTGGCGTATATAATAGTCGTGGACAATGGTAGATTAGGGATTAGTGATTTCAAATTCCATATAACTAAGCACTTTAAAGGATCTTGAGTAGTTAAGATCCTTTTTAAATAGAGTTAGAGGGTCTGAGGAGGAAGTCTCTCTTCTTCAGAACAAGTACATCACTCTATTGGGAGACTAACTCAAGTGAGCCGAACTTGTAGATACTTCAATGATCTTAATTTTAAATTTGATAAAGAAGAAGTTAAGTTATTCTATGATTCAAGAAGGTATAGACTATTAGACGGTTTTGATGAAGTTTATTTACTAAAAACTTAACACATCCAAATATCTTTGTTATGAGTTAAGAGTTGTTAGTTCAAGTAAAATCCTAGACATGAGCATGGGTGTTTATATGTCATATTCAGAAATATTTCAAGGGAGCTTCAAGATTTAAGACTTCTAGCTCCAATGACAATATTGGGTTCTTTAATGTGGACTGGTCATAAAGACCAGACTTACAGGAGACCAGTAAATATCAAATCAAAAAATAAACAAACGATTATTGTATTGAGTCTTTAGGGATAGGTTATTTCAATTTTGTCACAAGTTGGGAAAGATAGATATCAATACAAACTTGAGAGGTTAATATACTAATATTGTAAGTTTGCTATGGGGAAATAATATATATAGGGTGGCACAATCCTTCTCTGGGGTTTGACTCTCTCTTGTACATATTATTTTTTTCTTCTACTCTCTCTTTTTCCACTTTCTGCACAACTATCAAACAGTGAAACTATACAATCATGCTATGTAGTTGAGAACTGAAATTTAAGTATGAAACTCCTAAAAATAATTCTTCTATTTACACTGAATGAAGTTAAAGAAAATAATAAATAAGAGACGTGTATAAGATGTCTAGAACTGACTAGACCATATTTAGAGAGAGAGTCAACTCACAAAATCATAGATTGCCCATTGCAAACCAACATAGAATGAACACTTCATGTAAGTTATACATAATCTTGGTCATTAATTAGTGATGCAAAATACAACTTCAATATCATATACAATCAAGCAACAATAGCAAAATTCTTAACAACTAGCCGCACGAACCTGGAAAACTGCTCCACCCTCATCTTTTGCCTGGATATCCAATGACCGCAACAAGGATAAGATTGCTATTTCATCTTCACCTCGATCAAGTATATCTCCAAGTTGAATCAATACCTATGTCACAAAGACAATACGTTTAAATTTCAAGAGTGACATCATCAACAATCTCATAATAAGTATTCAATGATAACTACAAAGTTTTGCAATATACTCCAGCTATATTTCACTAACTCTACAAACTACAAAGTTGTATCTCTCTTTGTAAGTAACGGGGTTTAAAACAATGCCAACGGCATTCTAGGAATGGCAATAAAACCAGATACACGTTGTGGTAAGAGTATAAAGTCTAATGTCCCTAAAAGAGTTGATAAAGAATTCTGAATTCAAATTTGTCTGAAGTTAGCAGTTGTCATCTAGACTCAATCAAGATAAATTCTCTCTTACAAAATTCTTTAAAAATGAGGATCAAAATATGTGTGGAACTAATATCCATACCAAGTTTTTCACAGTATGTAAATAAGAATCATACCGTCTCTCCGCCAGTCCACAAGTCTTGACCATCAGAGCTCAAGACGCCAGCTATCTCAAGTGCACATCTTGCTTGAGCAAGATCCCCATGCAGATCCCCAACTAAAAAAAAAAAAAAAATTTCAATACTTACAAAGAAATCTGTAAAAAAAAAAAAAAAAAAGGAAAGGACCAAAGCATGCAGTTTAGTGGTTTCTCCTCTCCTCTCCTTTCAAAGCAAAAAGTGGAGGGTTCAAGACTTCAAGTCTTCTCAAGAGTACTATGAGAGTTGTTTGCCAGGAAAAAAGAAAAAAGAAAAAAAAAAAATAAATAAGTTATTGAATAACATTTGGAAAACAAAAATATGAGTCACTAAATATCATAATGCCCATTAAACCAACTCTGAGTTCCCCATGTCAAATCCATGTCTTAAAATTGGAATTGGAGGAAAAAGTAGAAGATTGAACTAAGTAAAATGCATTTCGCAGTATATGTCCTACCTATGTGGGATGCTAAAGAGGGGGAAAAAAGAAGAGAGAGAGAGAGAGAGAGAGAAAATAAAAAATAAAAAAAGGTGTCCTAAATAAATAATTGTTCTGATGGAACCTTCTCTTCTATTGTAGATTGGCTGTAAATACACAATCCAAAACATTATTGTTTTGCATTTGTTATTATCTTTATTATTTTAAGGAAATCAAATGCAACACAATATACAGAGAGTTAAAGGTTAAAAGAATGAAATGTTCAAATGAAAAAAAAAAAAAAAGAAAAGAGTAATTTCATAACTCCGTATTGATACATATGAAAAATATTTTGGAAGAATTTTTAACCATTGTGGTTTGTGTAGTTTGAATTAATATAATCTTCAATTCATTTACGAAAAGTGGGATTAAAAAAAAAAAAATGTGTACACGCATATAAAAGAAGCAATTTCATAACACCTCCAAATTGAAAAATATGAGTATAGATGGATACATATGCATCAATCACACACATACAAGGAGTCATAGGAATCTCTCACAAAGTGCATAGTGAAATGAATAGTGCTACAAAAACAAAAACAAAAACAAAAAAACAAAGATAGATTGGAAACAAAAGAAGAAGAGACGAACCAGCGACGATACGGCGACCAGGGGCGGAGACGAAAGTGGGAGGATTGCCTCGTACGACTATGGGCTTTAAGCTTCCGCTGCTACTGATGCTGCTATATGGAGAAGAAGAAGAAGAAGAAGAAGAAAGAAAAGAAGATGATGATGATGAGTCTGCGAGTTTGCGAGGCTGCGAAGGAGGTTGGAGAGATAACGAATTGAGAGACAAAGAAGCCATGGATTTGCGGAACACAAACACCGCATCATCTTTCTCTCTCCTCTTTTTCTTATTTTTATTTTCTTTTTGCACCTTTTTCTTTTTTCTTTCTTTTTTTTTTTTTTTTTTCATATTTTAGTTCGTGAAAAATAAAATAAAAGCCCAACGAACACGCTCACTCATACACACATTTACATTTTTAAGTATGTTCGGCTACGTATCATTGGTGGCTTAAAATTACAATTGAAATTTAAAAAATTTTGGTTTAATTTTCTTTGTTATTTTTTTAAAAATTTTATCAATTTTAATTTTAATACTCCAATTTCATGCGACTAAATATACCTTCTTGTAAATTGCACTAACACCCCAAGGATTAAAGACAATTATCTACAACTTGGACATTTTTTTAATAATAACACCCCTCAAGTTTGTAAAATTGGACAATCACACCAACACATTTAACACATAATAAAATGAACTAAATGCCCTTGACTAGTTAACAACCCAATTTTAATCATGGAATGACTTGAATGCCTTTTCTAACAATTTTAATTCCTCTCTCACTATATTCTCATATCAAGCCTCCATCGATGCTCATATTGAATACCGAATTAAATGACGAAAAAACTTTGCCGACCCAAATTTTCTCCAGGGCCCAACCCTAGTCTCTCCAGTAAATTATATGTATATACACACACACCTATAATCCTTAATCCATCTTCTCCCCCAATGTATATATATATATATATATATATATATATATATATATATATATATGTAGGGTAATTTACAAAGACCTCCCCTGATTTGCCATAATTACACGGACCTCCCATGTGGTTTAGGAATTTACTCGAACCTCCCCTAATAATGAAAATATCCTACACAGACCTCCCTTATGTGTGATGGACCGTTAAATACACCAACAGACCTGACTAATTTATTAAAAATTAAAATACCCACACATTGCCATAATAAATTACAAAAATATCCATTAGCTTTTAATTAAAAAATAAATATTTTTGCTCAATGTTTCTCTTTCCTCTCACCACCGCCACAACCTCCCCTCACCGGTGGCAACTTCTTCCATTGCCATCTCCTCCCACCGCTGGTGACTTCTTCCATTGCCACCTCCTCCCACCGCCAGTGACTTCTTCCATCACCACTACCTTAATCCACACACCACTGCCACAACCCTCCCACTTCTGCCACCTCCTTCCACTGTTGTTGCCATCACCACCAACACAGCAACTATGTCTCTCTTTTCTCCTTAACAGCATATTCAAACACTACGTACGACCCAAACCCTCGACTTGTGCCATGTCGGATCTCAAAACTTCCAAATCTATATTCCTCTCACTGTGCCCCAAACCTAAATTGATTCGCTGAAAGTTGATTTTGGTAATTAATATTTTTTTCTTCCGAATGTATAATTCTTCCATTCTAAACCAAATCTGAGAGTCAATCAATTGTTGATATGATTGATTTTGGTAATTAATCTTTTTTCTTTCCATTCTAAACCGAATCTGAGAATCAACCAATTGTTGATATGATTGATTTTGGTAATTAATCTTTTTTCTTCCGAAAGTATAATTCTTCCATTCTAAACCAAATCTGAGAGTCAACCAATTGATGATTTTTGTAATTAATCTTTTTTCTTCCGAATGTATAATTCTTCCATTCTAAACCAAATCTGAGAGTCAACCACTTGCTAATATGAAATACTAATAAAATTGTGATTCAGAATAACAACCAAAAAGAGAATTCAACCTATGGTAGTGATCAAAGGATTATGTATTCTTCTGATGATCCGAAACCAAAAAGCAGATTGATCATGATGTCAAAATTCAAGAGTTTTTTTCACCAATCTCCTCCCACACTCTTGATTCCCTTCTCAAGTGGATCAGAGCCCCAACCATAATTGAATCAAGAATATATGTATATATATACATAATATGATATATATATATATATATATATATCAATTAGAAGGGACAAGGGTATTATGGGGTTTTTAGTAAAATTTGTACATGACGTCAGCATATTTCGTCCTTGACTGACGTTGACTTTAATAGAAGGGAGGTATGTGTAGGATATTTTCATTGTTAGGGGAGTTCCGAGTAAATTCCCAAACCAGAGGGAAAATCCGTGTAATTATGACAAACTATAGAGGAGGTTTGTGAAAATTGCCCTATATATATATGTAGTGATGTACCACTTGGTCTTGGCATTGCTTTCACCGTCAGACAAATCACGTCGTCGGGGAAGCTCTGCCGGCCCAAATACGAAGATATAGAAGAGCAATCGGTGGTGGAAATAAAGGCTACCAACACCACCATCGTCAGCCTAATCTCTTTTTGCAAACCTTAATTTCTATCGCTTTGTCAAAATTAAAATCAAATCAAAGCCCGTCAACCCTAACAACACCAAATAGGCCTGCAGCTCACCGACGGGGCCTGCAGCTCACCGACGGGGAGACCATGCCCATAAACCTAGATCAGTTGCGAGCTTTAGTGTCATATCACATCACGACAATGATTACAGTTGATGATGACGTAGCCCAACTCTCCAACCACAAATGTCAGTGACTGCAAGACACGGTGATGACTATTGTTAGTGGCAATGAGAAACTCCGGTAACTTCGATGACAACAAACCTGTAATCACTCTTCTTTCAGACAGTGAACCTCTATGATCAGCGATAATAACAACACCGATCTTCAACCAAACTCTACAACTTCTGACCAACAAATAAACAACAATGATGCACCCATGCAACTTTCGTTCAACAAAACAAAGTAAGGATGATTTCTGTAATCGCAATCGCGTTCTCAAAGGGCTGCAATCTGGTACCGGTGGCCGTTCGATCGCAGGGTTGTGATCGCAATCACATTCTCAAGTTCTTGTTCTATGATTCCTCCGTCGAAGCTGTATACGATGGTTGTGGTAGCCATATATGCCGCAGATGGCCGAAATTGCTTCTTTATCTGTGGTCATTCAATCGTAGGGTGGTGGTTGTGTGATTGGGTGGTGCCCGGTGGTGGCATGTGGTTCTGGTGGTTGGTATGATCGGGTTTTGCAAGGAATTGATGGTGGTGGGTGGGTGGTGTTGGCGTAGATATAAGAAGGTTAGAGAAAGAAGTGGTGTATATTTATTGAGGGTAGTTTGGTCATTTTAGGAAAGTTGATATTTTGGATGAAAAATATTTAAGGCTGTCTTTGAATCTCATTTATGAAATGGCGTGTCATTATCTAAAAGGTGCCTAAGTTATATGTAGGTGTCTTTAACCCAAACCTAGCATGTGTGAATGCAAATTACTCCCTTTTTTTTTTCTTTTCTTTTTCTTTTTTCTTTTTTTTTTTGTACATTTATATCAGTATTTGAGGTTTGTTTCATTGTGTGCAAGTGGGACTTGTGATCCAGGATCCATCGTGTATTTTTTTTATGACATATATGTGTGTGTGTGTGAATCTTATGATGCTTCAAAGATATATATGGGAATAAATAATAATTGTAAGTCTACATGTATTCTCATTGTTGAAAACTAAAGCTAAATCTTAGAGGGAAGAGAGATAGGATAATTGACTTATCTCTTATTTCATATCATAAAAGGATGATAACAATAGGTATGTATAATATCTACCAGAACACAAAATAAGGGAGTTGGTAGGTGATTTCAAAGCAAGGAATGTATCTAGACATATTGTGTGTCTAGGCAAATGCATCATGTGTAAAATATATGAAAGCTATGATCATATCCCTAAATAAGGAATAGTTGACTACAAGTTGTATTCCCGACACTCCCCATCAAGTTGGAGAGTAGATGTTAATGACTCCCAGCTTGTTGTAGATAGAATCAATAGCATGTTTGGGTAAAGCCTTAGTAAATATATCTGTTAATTAATGACCAAATGATATGAATGGAGCCACAATTTATTTGGAAGTCACCTTAGAATGAACGAAATGACAATCAACCTCAATAAGTTTGATTCGCTAATGGAAAACTGGATTACTGGCAATATGAATAGCTGCCTGATTATTGCAATAGAGAAGATATGAGTCTTGAACAGAAAGTCCAAACTCTTGTAATAGAGTTCTCAACTAAGTTAGCTCACAGAAAGTATGAGTCATTGCACGGTACTCAGCTTCAGCACTTGATCGTGCCAGAAGAGACTGCTTCTTACTTTTCCAAGTGACTAAATTGCCTCCTATGAAAGTACCGTAACCAGCCGTTGATTGTCTGTCTGAACTTGCCCAATTAGAATCACTGTAACCCTTGATGCGCAAATATCCAGATGACTGGTAGAGAAGACCACGACCCGAAACTCCTTTGAGATACTAAAGAATTCGTATAACTACTTCCATGTGTGGGACTCATGGGTTGGCCATAAACTGACTGACAACATTGACTGCATAGGTAATATCTGGTCAAGTAATAGTTACATAAATCAACTTACGTACAAGTTATCAATATATCTCTGGATCATCAACCAAGTCACCAACATCAAGAAATAGTTTCAGATTAGTCTCCATTGGTATTGTTGTAGGTTTAGAGCCAAGATAACCCATATCCTTTAAGATATCAAGAGTGTATTTTCTCTGAGATAAACAGATGCCTTTCTTTGATCTGGTAACCTCAATACCAAGAAAATAGCGAAGCTTACCCAAGTCTTTAATGAGAAAATTCAAACCCAAATGATGAATCGAGGTCTGAATCCCCTTCTTGTCACTCCCAGTAATGATGATATCATTCACATAAACCTCCAAAATCACAATGCCATACTTTGCCTTTTTATATATATATAATAAAAAAAACCAAATGATTAGCTTGGTTTCTAGTCATCCCATGAGCGACTACTACCTTGCTAAATTTATCAAACCATGTACGAGGTGACTGTTTGAGTCAATAAATAGACTTTTTGAGGTGACAAACACACTCCCCCCTTGGACTCAAACCTAGGAGGTTGAGCCAAGTATATTGTATCAATTAGATTGTCGTGAAAAAAAATATTTTTGACATCAAGTTTATGGAGAGGCTAGTCAAGATTTGCAGCAAGAGAGAAAATTATACAA